AAAAAAAGGGGGGGGGGGAGTCTAATCAGATGAAAAAATCCAACTATCTTTGTTGGTTGGTTTTATTTTTTCTGAATACTCAACCAAAAGGTTCAAATCCATCTAACTCAAAGTTAAAAATAGGATACCCGGCACCATATTTTCGTATGCAACCCACATGAAATGTGTGAAATACATGTAATCTCTCTATCTAATAGTGTGTGGGAATTGGAAGGTCCAAAAATTAATGCTTATTCCTTTGAACTGTATTCTGTGATTAACGCAATCTCACATTTCCCTATTGTGACATAATGAACAGAGTCAAACCTGAGTTAATACACCATATTCGCAGTTAATTTCTATGAAACTTTTGTTAAATTTATTAAGCATAAGAATATTCATCTGTAAAGTGAAAATGATAGATTATGAGGATTAAATGAGTTGATGCGTGAAAATGACCTGTAAGTAACTGATCCTAAGCTTTGCAATAAAGACAAGTTTTGTTTCTCATCTAATCTGTCCTCAGTTACTAATACATTCTAATTACTGTATTTCACTGTTTGGGTTTGAATTTTCCTATCTTATCTCTTAATAGTCTTTTTTCTTTTATCAATGTAACTGCCACTAACAACTCTTCCAACCTGAAGTTCTAATCTACGTTAATGTAAGAGAACAAATAATCAAGTATGTTAGAACAGTGTGAAAGTAAAAACATTCTCTGGGAGATGCTCACTGACTGGCAGAGCACTGTCTTGTCATCGGTTTCGCTTACAGGCTCTAAACTATGTCTCAGATGTTTAAGTCTTAACAAATGCATAAATAAGCCTGTTACGGCTAGTTGAGTCTTCAGAGATGGCCACCATCAATTTTTCTTCCCTCCCTGTCTGAGCATTCTTCCCCACCCATAAGAATGTAGAGTGTATTCTCCTTCCCCTGGATTTGGCTGGCTTTTTGACTTGCCCTCACCAACAGAATGCAATGGAAGTGATGCTGGGCCAGTTCTGGGACTAGTCTGAAAGAGGCCTGGTACCTTTTGCTCTTGCTCAGGGAAGCCAGCCACTATGCTATGAAGACGCTCGGCCTAGCCTTTGACGAGAGGCACTGTGGAGGGGTACCAAGATGTAGACATAGAGAGGTAAAGAGTTCTTGGACCTTCAGCCCTGCCCTGTGCAGGCCAGCTGAGTTGGAATGTACTAACGAGTGACTCTAGCTGATAACAAGGGGAGCAAAAACACTGCCCAGCTGAATCCTGCCTAAATTCCTGACAGAATTAAGAGAAATAATAAACTATTGTTATAAGCCATTAAGTTTTGGGTTGTTCTGCTTTATAGCAATAGATAAGAAAAACCAGGGAAATAAAAATGTTCAAAAGAAAGTAATATGGAAACATCCTAAAGAGAAGAAACAACAGTTAATGAAGAAGAAAAGAGGAAGGAGGAGCCAACAACACTAAAAGTCAATGAGAGGGACACAGGCAGTAAAAGAAGAAAGTGCGAACACCAGCTGGGATTTTGTTTAACTGCTTTGGTTCTGATTGTCCACTTTCCTAAAACCTTGCCAAATTCTTATCCTCAAAGCCTCGGCCTTGCTGAAACCAGTCACCATCTGGTGTATTATTTAACTTAGGCTCTGAAAGCTTCCTTCCAATAGTTCACTTTTCTATCAGATGATCAAATGTCTGCTCTATTCAAGTATCACTAATCTTCAAAAAAATGCCTCTACAGTACTTTCATCTTAGATTACCTGTTGTTCTATTTATCATAAAGGACATTCACTGACTTATCTGCCTAGATTCCTTTCTTTGATATACTTGAAAAATTCCTTATTATTAGATTTGCAATACCCCTCTGCCAAAATATTCCCTTCAGTTTTTTATTTCCCACAATTTCAAATTTACAAAAAAGCTGCCATATTTTTGGGACTCAGTTCTCCTACATTAGTTTAATTTACAAAAATAAATGTGTTTAATTTTGCCAGTAAATTTAGGTTCAAAATGAGATCAAGATTAAATTATAGAAAAGGAAAATCTGTTTATTTTGCACTTCTCTGTAAAGTATACAGTCCCTAATAATTTATACATATTAAATACTTAATATCTGCTGCTTCAATGTTAGTAGATATATACAACTGAAGAAAATTAGGGCTTCACAGTAATTCTAAAACTCCTTTATATAGTTTGCAGTACGTAACTGTGTTCTAAATTAGGTGCTCACAGAGATGGACTCTAAATTCTTTCATTTGAACAATTCTCTTAATCACCTCCTCTTCCCCATTCCTTATGCCATGACTAGTTCAAGCCCACATCACCTCTCTTCTAAATGATTTGGCGGTCATCTTCGCTGACTCACTTCGATCCAGCCACTCTTACCTTGGCATCCCTCCCCCACATTCTATTCTTCAGCCACCCACATGACTTTCTACAACCCTTCAAAAACCAATCTGTAAGTTGATCCTTCCCAGTTCCTTTCACCATTCCTCAGATAATTCTTCCCTGTCACACCATCTTGATCACCCCTCCTTTAGGGGTAACTAAATATGATGGTGTCCTGACTAAAATATGGCAATTCAAATTAAATACACTACTTGAAATATGATATAAAAATGAGAAGTAGGGTTTATTTTCCATAGACTTAGACAGCAACTGGAAATCATGAGGAATGAATCATAGTTTCACAGTTAGTTTGTGGCTGAGCAAGAACTAGAATCACCCCCTGAATTTCCAGTTCAGATCTCTATTATGATTTATTTTGTCTCAAGGAGATAGATACAAAACACATACATACACCAGAAAATATATACATAAAAATAGTATAAAAGTTGTATCATAAGTGTGGACTGTATATATGATGATCATGACTATCCAATGTTCTTAAGGAAAAAGAAAAGATTTTCTTTTTTAAATATCTGTAGTTAACTAACAAAATATAAGAATTTTTTTAACCCTTTTTTGTGGAAAGCTTCCTAAAAATGTTCTCTAGATTTACTGACTTAAAGAGCATATACTGAAAATAGTCAGCATTAGTATCACAAACATGTTAGTGAGAGATATTCAAGATAGAGCTTTAGATACGCACGTAAATTAACGTGAATAGGGAGGGGTGTGATGGTGGTGAACGGCAGTAATTCTGAACTTACCTTCCTGGGGAAAATTCTTTTAGATTGTTATTCTCATAAGTGTGATATGAAACACAGACAGTACATAACAAGCAGGGTATTTGATCAACAGTCCAAGCGTCATCTCCCAAGTGGTTTCTCACTCTTGAGAAGCATCACCATTCCCTTCATTTCATCATAGTTTCTTCCTACGAAGCCCCAGAATCTAAATTCTTATTACTCTAGTACTTCTACCATCATTGGCAAGGCTTTTCTGATAAAGAAATATGTTGTCTGAAAACATCTTCATTAAAATATATGACATTAAAAGCCACTTATGGTTAAAAATATTACCTAAGAAGATCGATGAAACTTACTTCTATTTATTAATTTTTACATTTTTATAAGCATAAGTTGACCAATAGCTTTTCCATCCTGTTTAAGTCAATTAAATAAAATGTGACAAATTATCTGAGGCTGAGACTGCTGTCTCTTGATTATAAATGCCAAAATAAACGTAATGACCAAAAATGGCCAGGATCAAGGCCATTTATTACTGCAAAGATAATCTATTAAAAGATAGAGATTTAATACACACCAATACCATAATTAAGCATATAGCCAGAAAATGATGGTCTTTGAGTTTTACATCCCAGAAAATGAAATAAAAACTAAAAGTACTTACTCTTTGCTGTTTGTAGTGCTTAAACATTCTAAGACAGTGTTCAATGATAAATAACAAGTAAATGCCTCCTAGAGCAACAAGTCCTTTCAGTACAGCATCATATTCTTCCAAAAACTTCTTAGATTCGTGTCCATGAGAATGTCCATGCCCATGTGCATGTTCATGACTGTGATCATGCCCACCCTGAGACTGTTATTAAGAATAAGAAAAAGCTATTTTAAATTCTGAGATTATAATATCCTAGAGGACACAGAAAAATATACTTTTTAATTTTTAAAGTGCTCCCTAAATATTATCTCACTTAAATATAAGTAGTCTTCCATTTAATTTTGCTATACTCAGTGGCCGGGAAAGTACTCAGTGGCTGGGAAAGTACATTTCACAGTAACTCTAAAACAAAGACCACAAACTCAAATGCTGATAGGGGTTACGATACATACTATAGTGAGAGAATGAAATCAGCAGTAAGATAATAGGGAGTGATGTGTCCTTTGTAAATTTAAGTCAACATGACCCAGATAAATGCCCAATATTTAGCAAAAGTAAAACAAACTAATTTACCAGCAGGTGATCACTTGTGACTCCCTGTAATCTCACTTTTTCTTAAACTGATTATACAGAAGTATATACTGGAAAGTGTGCTAATTTTCTATATTTTAAAACTTTAGCAAAAAGAAATGTGTGAAAGTGGTTATTTTTAATTGTGAAATGTAAAAGTTTCACAATATTTATCTTAGAGAACTTTAAACATTAGAGAACTATTTTTAAGTATTTTCCTTGCTTATAACATTTGTATTCTTTCCCCATATGCTCTCAGTCAACAGAAGAGGTTTCTAAACCTCTCAAAGGAGGTAAAGACCTTCAAAAAGCTATTAACTTTATTTCATTAACATTTCTTAAGAAAAAAAAGTGAAACAGCAGTTACACTTGTTCTCAGTTCAACTGTTCTTATTAGGGTCAGTTCTGAAACAGGGGAAAATAAGTAAATAACATAATAAATAAGCTTTAAAAACATATTAAATTTTAAGATTAATTTTTTAAAAAGACAGTGTCATACATTCTCAACCAACAGTGCAGAAGAAGAGAAGAGGTATACACAACACACAAATATAACTCTGTGTTCCAAATACTCCAGAAGGGAGGTGGTGAGAATAAAAAAAAAAATCCTCAAACCTGTAATTTTACATTTGGAATGAAAAAGCCCCACTATTTTCATAATGTGACATAAAAACAATAATACTAGATCAAATACTCTTATGTGGCAACAGATTTTAAAAGGCATAATCAAGGCACTGTGAGTGTGGGCTTATGACCATACCATTAGAAGTGTACCCAAATGTTAGGAAACAAGAGGTATGCCAGGTGAAAAGACAAATGGCCCGGTAAGTAAAGGGCTGTATGCCTGTAATAGCTAACTGAGTAGGTCTGCCTATTCTTGCTCAAGTAAAGGTGCCTATGTATGGCACACTGGCTATATACATGATCATTACAAAATCCCTTATATATTTCTTCTAAAGGCTTTTCTTGAAATACCATACAGATAAAAACTCACTCTCTGATTTTTAAGTATTTACTTTCAGAACTGCCAACAGAGCAAGTTGCTGTTTTTTTAAATTAGCTTTACTGAGGTATAATTGGCCTATAAAATTGTAAGATGTTTAAAGTGTACATCGTGTTGATTTGATATGTATACATTGTGACAGGTGAATATAAAACCAACATTACCAGGTTTTTTGCTATTTTAGAACCTAATGATTTAATTTATTTCAAAAATATTGCTATTAAAACTGTTCAAATGAAAAAAAAATACTTTATCCTATTAAGCAAATAAAATAGTGCAAATACTAAATATTTTTACTACAGCTTGTTAATGAAAGACCCTTTTAGCTTAAATATTTTCATTTTTAATTTGTTTAAAGTTTAAAAGGATTTCTTACATGGGGCAGTAGATGAAGAAGGGCATCTCCACTCATTGTTCCTACAGCTAGAGCAACAAGGAATGTGAGAAGGAATTTGAAGCATCCTTGGTTAATGATGGGAACCAAGATCACGCCTAGCAAGGAAAGCAGGCTAATGACAGTGACAGAAATTATACCACAAATCCATGCTGTAGGAAAGAAATTAATAGTCAATATTAGTATGAATCACGGACAACAGATTATCTTACCTAGACTATACTTTTTAAGAAGTTTTATATTTTGGCACTGCTATGCTTAAAAACAAAACAAAATAAATAATCATATAACTAGCTTGAATACTTAAAAAAAGAATTAAGAAACTCAGATCAAATTATAAATAGTATCTTCAGTAGCACACCGTATCAGAAATAGGGACTTAAAAATGACTAAAGGCTGTGATTCACTCTTATTATCTAGACTGTAAACAAAATTTTAAGAATTCTAAAGGCAGAGCCACAGCAATAAAATTGTTTATTTAAAGAGTATAATTATAAACCTCTCCTGGGAGCATTAAAGGAAACCAAGTATCTAATGTACTGTAACCTTTGTAAATCTTTCTAATACAAAGTCTTAAAGTTTCAACTTAAAGAAAACTTAAAATTTTCTTAAAAACTACCTATCAGCCCAAAATAGAAATATATTCACATGACATACAAAACAGTCTTATTACTGGTAGCTGTACTGTATTTCATTTCTTATTTTTGCAAGGATAACTCAGTTCTGTTTTCCTTGATATCAACTCTCCTCCACACCCAGTTTGAAACTCTTTTTCCTCCAATTTGGCGTTCTGTACAATTTACCACTTAAAAAAAAAATCTGACTTTTTAGAATTAATAATATTTGCATTTAGCTTAAATAAACTCTATCATAATTTCCTAGGTGTTGAACAAAACAATTTAGGTAATAAAATTCTTCTGATTTCTAACCAAATTACTGTGCTTTTTAAATCACAATTTACTTGCTTTAAAACAAAAACAAACAAAAACCAGAAAACCCCCAAAATAATAAAAGGTATCATTTGCCCTGGCCGATGTGGCTCAGTTGGTTGAGCATTGTCTCATGCACCGAAAGGTCACTGGTTCAATTCCCAGTCAGGGCACATGCCCACGCTGCCAGCTTGATTTCCAGTAGGAAGCCTGCAGGAGGCAGACAATGGAGGTTGAGCTCTCACATTGATGTTTTTCTCTCTCTCCCTCCCCCTTCCTCTCTCTCTTAAATCAATTTCTAAAAACACACATAAAAAAGGCATCTTTTGTAAAAGTTATACCAAACTAAGAATATACAAAGTGTTAAATACAACTACCAAATGTTTTCTTTATTTGTACCCAAGATACCAAATGCAATTAAAAAAAAAAGTTAACTATCTGAAACAAGCTTCACTTATTCTACAAATTACATTCTTAAAACATTAAAGGTCTTCAAGCTTAGTTATCCACCAACTCCCTTTCTCATTATCTAGAGAGAAAATGCATTCTTTTAAAAAGAAGCGCTCATCTGTGGAAACTTTCTAATTAACTTGGTTCAAAGCATGTGCAAGATGGCAGTTTTCTACACTGTTTCAGCATTTTAATTGGCAGAAAATGCTTAGCGACCTATTCACAACCCCCCCTGGCAATTAAACTAGGGTCAACTCTATGACTAAATGAGCCAGTCTTGTGAAACAAACGATTTCTACCATACACAGTACATAGCATATTTGGTTTACAGCACTCTTTGAACAGTTAATGAGGTAGTAGCTGTGTCACTACGGGAGATTTATATAGAACAAGTTAACCTTTCTTAATGGTGCAGCAGTCATTAAAAATAATTTTTAGCAGGACTTTCTCTCTAACAATTATTAACATCTATTAGGACATAATTAATTCAATCTTCATTTCTGACAATGCTAACAACCACCTGCAAACAATTAATCGATATCCACTATAGTAATGTATTTGTCTTCAAAACAAGTACAATTTCCTCTAAGGCTTTTCAGATTGAATAAACTGTAATTTTCAATATTACCATAGTCAAGCATCTGTCAACAGCTTATTATAACATATAGATTATTCCAATATTACAACATAGAAAACTAAGTAATAATCTACAGTTGATGTGGAAGCCAAAAATTAGAATTTTTTGAAGCCTAAAACATAAAAAAGGCTATCTTTACTCTAGATATGATAATCTCATCAATTTCTGTTTTCCCTGTAAAGAACAAATGACTTTTATTTTTAATTAAGTTAAATAATCTCAGGTCTAGCTTCCCCTTCTCTCCTGCCATAATGAAAATTTAGAAGCACTTGAGAAAGATTCATCTACAAAAATCAGCGAACAGGAAACCAACAGAGAGGACATATTTTATCTATCCAAAGACCAACATTCAAATCTGGAGTGTGGACTCTTTCCCTTTTCTAATCATACCAGACTGAACTCAACCTGTCTACCTAGAAGACTATTCTTGTATTTTTTCTTACTAATCTATACTTACAGCAACACTTACTTGTACCAATATTTACCTCTATACCACTTTCCTGTCTATGTCTGCATTATCTGTTAAAACACTACTAAGTATAACTAAATATAACTCTTTTTATCTCCCTGTCACATTCTAGCAAAACATACTTAAGAACCTTTTTAGCAAGAAGCAGTTGAGCACAGCATAGGTTAAGAACATAGTAGAATTATAGGCTTCTTTTTATCTTTTAAAAAAATTTTTATTGAATTTAATGGGGTTACATTGGTTACTAAAATTATATAGGTTTCAAGTATACAATTCTTTAATACAACATCTGCATACTATACTGTGTGTTCACCACCCAAAGTCTAATCTCCTGTCACCAAATTCTATTTCCACCCCTCTTACCCTCTTCTACCTGACCCCGCCCTCCTTTCCTTCTGGTAATCACCATACATGAAATCACATGGTATTTATCTTCCTCTGACTGGCTTATTTCATTTAGCATAAATACCTTCTAGGTCCCCACTGGCTTTCCTCTGTACTTCCTTAAAAACAATAATCAGCTTTTCACCAGAGGCCCTCAACTCTGCTAAATGTTAAAAAACCAGAACACCAAATAACTTTAATTAGGGGCCCGTTATTCCATCAAGAAAGATCCATTTATCACAAACTTGTAAATCCTTTTTAATCTAGTTCTCTAGCAAAACTGTCCTGCTGGTGCCAGAAGAAATAATTAAACTGTACTCTCCCTCCTGTTTTCCCCCAATCTGTTTTAAACACACATATTAAAATATATTGAGAATTGGAATTACTTTCTAATTCAATTACATAAAAAAATAGAATACAAACTACTTTGAGGATCAAAAACTTAAGTCTTCCTTACCTGATGCCCCTATATTTGCCTTATCTTCAGGAACCATATTTTTATCTTTATTTAAATCTTCAACTAAAAGTTTGTCAAAATGTTCAATACAAAGTCTGCTGTCAATCTGGTATAACAATGCAGGGCAAAGGTATGTAAATAGATCAGCTGAGATTGGAGAGTTGGCACCATGACCATAGTATTTTAACAACTGAGTGACGTTCAAACACTGCAAGGAAATTGATAAAACAAATTAAGTAAAAGAGTATTTTAAAAAGATTATGCCAAAGAAATTGACTGTATAAAGAAAATATTCGAATTATTATTTGAAAATAGTTTGTAATACACAGGTATCTATTAGAAATAAAGCTTTTGGATAGGAATTTATGATAGGGATACATTCAACTTATTACCCAAGACTTTTTATGGATTTTAACCATTTTTCCATTCTAACACGTGAAAGATAATGATCTTTTGACATTGATAAGAAAGGATTCCCAACTCTGTTCCCAATATTCTTAAGGGGGTAGGAGGAAAAAATGTCACTTCTCTAGTTAAAGTGTATTTATTAATTACTCAAGATTCTTACTTGTAAAACAGTGTTAAATAAACTAAAAATACTTTAATAACTTTATATTATAGTATAATACAGACTTTTTCACTGCCTAAGGGAATTCTAGCCCAATGCTAATACTGGAAGATGAAAAAAGGCAGCTTCATCCACCAGTACTTTAAGTGCAAAATAAAACAAAGCAGGAAGCACAAACAAATTTGAACCCATATAAAACAAATATCTAAAATTAAGGCAAAAAAGATGGTACTGCCTCTTTTTCATACATATTCACTTAGGTAGCAGTTTGTTTACTGACTTGCTAGCTCATTATATGATTTTACCTATGTACAAAAAACAAAAACAAAACATACATACAAACAAAAAAAGGATTCTTCTCAGGTTTTAACATAAGGTACTACTCTATCCAATACATGCAATATTTCCATAAATCCTGAGAAAATTCCCAATATGCATCAGGTTTGATGATGCTGACCCTGTAAGTTTTATACAAAAAGTAAACATTAATGATGTCAAATTTTATTAACCACAAAAGATTCTAGGATATCGTCCATAGTAATAAATGAATATAATTCTTTAAAAGTACACCAAATAGCAAATAGTGTTTATAACTGCTAAAAACCAAATATCTGGTGATTTCTCCAGGGAAGAAACACAAAGATATTTACTTCGATGAAAAACGTACTTAAATTATAGAGACATAAACAACAAAAAGTCATACTCCATATTAGATGGTACCGCTTTTTATACATATGAACAACAAATTCAACAATTTTTTCTAAAATTAAGATAAAAATTAGCATAAAAAGTTGTTAATATACCTTTAATAAAATAAAAATAAATGTGATTAAGGTGAATATAGTTTTTTAAAAAACTAAGAAATCAATGTGAAAGTATTGAAAAAAATCATGAAAATTTAGAAGAAAAAACACAACTATCCTATTACTACTGGAATTTCCTATTATTTTATCTTTTTGCATTCACCCTAAAACTGTCAGAGGCATGAGAAAAGACTATATCATGAGCAAGTAGGCCCTACCATAAAATGACATATTGAGAAAACAAACCTATGACNCTAAAACTGTCAGAGGCATGAGAAAAGACTATATCATGAGCAAGTAGGCCTTACCATAAAATGACATATTGAGAAAACAAACCTATGACATGTGCAAAATACCCAATTTGGAGCTATATCAGTGACTAGGACCCATTCCATAATTAATTCAATAAGTTAATAGTTACAAAAAAGAAACTGTCTAGTCACCTCCCAAGAGGAAAGATAGAACAAAAAAGCCTTCAATTCTCAAATATCTGGAAACCAGCTAATAGTAACAACATGAAAGCTAACTTGGGGATTTAAAAAAAAAAAGTCATAAGCAAGATAGTAAAATAAAGAATGAATATAAGGGTTATATTTTCTAACAACCTTCAAACATTTAGATTTTAAGTACCAAATCTGAGAACAAGCAATGCAAGTAAAAATCCAGATAAAAACTTTAATCTGATTTTAATTCCTTAACATGTTTATTTTACATTACTTAGAAATACGTTTTAATATGATTGTCTATTCCTCCATTACTTTTTACCTAAAATGCTCCATGATTACCTAAGAATTATGGAACAGCCATCTTTTTATACTTACCTCATGTTGACGGTCATCTTCATTATGATCTTTGTGACTAGCAGCTGAATAAATTGCACTTTTTTTAACATGTGGTGCTTCTCGCTTTCTAGTATGTCGAAGTTCACCTTCATTATCAGGATCAGGATCTTGGTGTCCATGACCAGGATCATGACCATTATGTTCTGGAAGATGTACATGAGAATGACCTGGGTTATGTACACGATCAGGTTTATGGACCCGATTATGCTCATATTGTTCAACCTGATCATGGTTAGGGGGAAAACCTGGTGTAATAACCTCAGAATTTTCATCACTCTTCTTCCCTTTTCTCTTCCTCTTTCCTTTTGGCGGCTTACTTTCAGATTGTTCCTGTGTTTTATTGGTCTCTGTTGAAGGTTCATGGCTAGTCTCCCCACGCTCGCTGTGAGTAATGGAATCATTAGAAAAATGGCGAGTAGTGTTATGATCGAGGTGATGACGCAAACAATGGTGATGACATAAGCGATGATTACGATCACGCATATGTTTATCATCAGGTTTGACAGACACTTCAATTGTCTCTTTCTCTGGATCACACTTATGGTATCTTTTTGTTGATACACTGGTCACAGTTTGATTTTCTGAATTCAAATGCTTATGGGAATGCTGGTGGTTATGAGAGTGAAAATGCTTTCCCTCTTGAACTGCCAAAATATCTAAGTGAGAAACATGATCGTGGCCAAGATCCTCATGATTAATCTCAACTACTTTTATTTCTCCGAGGCCCAAGTTTGTTAAAAGTTTCTCCAGACCAAAAAAGGATAATCTTCCATTTTCACCGTAACGCTCAAAAAGTTTTTCAATGTAATATTTTTTTTCATTTTCAGCATCCGGAACTGAAAATTTGCTTGACTCCGAGTCTGTCATTCCATGATGGTGTCTGTGATGCTCTTCAGGACCATGGTCATGTTTTTCATGGCAGTGGTTGCAATGATGAAAAATAAATGTCAGCAAACAAATGAGGCAAAATTTTGTGTGCATATGTACCTTCATTTCTATTTTTCCTAAAGGGATTTAAAAAGAGAGGCAAGCATTAGTTCACTTAGTCACACTCAAAATAATCATAAACTTTTCAGCAGTTGCCAATCTACCAGGAAAATGTTTTACCCCATCTGTCATGGCTATGAGTAATTCTTTCCTCTTCCAATTCACTGTAAAAATGGCCCCTTTTATCAAAAGAGTGTACAGCCCTTTGAATTAATACAAACTGCTCAAGGCTCATCTACCAGGCTATTCTAACTTCCTTTTAGCACAACACTTAAGAGTCTATACATTTATACAGGAATTATTGGATTCCTTCCTACCTGGTCCTTTACAAAACAGTGTGCTGGTCCCTCTGGTAATTGCAATAAGGAACGATGAAATAAGNACATTTATACAGGAATTATTGGATTCCTTCCTACCTGGTCCTTTACAAAATAGTGTGCTGGTCCCTCTGGTAATTGCAATAAGGAACGATGAAATAAGATGATAAAATGTGTAAGAGTCATAAAGAAATGAAAGTCATTATTCACGAATGACAGGACTGGGTATGTAGAAAATCCAAAAAAATCTCTAAGAATTAATAAGCTAATTTAGTCAAGTTGTTGGATATAAGACAATAACATAATAAAATCAACTGTATTTCTATATACCAGCAATAATTAGAAAATAAAATTAGAAAATAGTATTATTTACAATAGCAAATTGCTAGGAATAAACCTAACAAAAGATGTGTAAGACTTTACATAAAAAAAGGAACACATTATTGAGAGAAATGAAAGACCTAAATAAATGGATGACTATATCATGCTTATGATTGGATGAGATACAGATCCAATGTAATCCCAATCAAAATTCTAGAAGCAATCTTGTGAGAATTTAAGGTATTTTAATATTTAGATGGAAAAAGAAAGGGCCAAGTACAGCCAAGACACTTTTGAAGAACTAGATGGGAGCACATACTCAACCAATTACTAAAAATAGAGTGGTGTTTGGTGTAAAAACAAATAAACATACCAAAGAAACAAAACAGAGAGTGTAAAAATCAGAAAGGATTCTCTTTTCCTTGGTGGTTAGTGAACTAGATTTCCACACACAAGAAAAAAATAGAATGATCCCTATCCTCCTACTATAAAAATCAATTACAGATGGATTTTAAACCTAAATCTAAAACAATAAATGTTAAAGCAATAAAATGTCCAGAACTGTGCTGTCCAATATGGCAACCACTAGCCACATGTGGCTATTTAAATTTAAACTAACTACAATTAAATTAAAAATTCAGCTTCTCAGTCACCCTAAGCTGCATTTTAAATGCTCGATAACCACATAAAATCATGGCTACCATATCGGACAGTGTAGACATAGAACATGCCCGTTATCTCAGAAAGTTCCATTGGACAGCATGCTTGTAGAATATAGAAATATAATGTGCATCAATTATATAATTTAAAGTTTTCTACAATAAACTGGTGAAAGTAATTTTCATGCTCTATTTTATTTAACCCACTATATCCAAAATATTATCATTTTAATATGTAATCAATATAATTCTTAATGAGATTTTTAGATCCTTTTTTAATACTATGTCTTTGAAATCATGTATTTTACATTTACAGAACATCTTATTGAGACTAGCCACATTTCAAGTGCTCAATATCCACATGGGGCTACTACTGGCTACTATACTATAAAGAGCAGATCTAGATGTATTTGGGACACTAGCTTCAAGACCTTCAAGATAGGGACAGAAAAGCATTGTAAAGGAAAAAACTGATTAAGTATACTTCATTAAAATTAAGAAATTTCTATTCACCAAAGAATTTCATTAAGAGACTAAAAAGGTAAGCCATAAATTAGGAGATTATCATAATGTTACTAGTCAAGAATACATAAGGAATTTCCACAAACCAACTGAAGATTATGAGACAACTTGGTGGAAAAATGGGCAGGAAATGTGAACATGAACTTCACAAGAGAATAGCTAAATTACTAAGAAGCCTATGAAGATTCTCAACCTCAGTAGTCATCAGAGAAATGTAAAATAAAATCACAATTAGATACCACTGTATACCCAGCAGAATGAATAGAATATAAAAGATGTAAGCAAGAACATATAGTCTACTGGAACTTGCCTACACTGCTGGTGGGATTTAGATTGGTATCTTTTGGAAAAATGGCAAAAGCTGACAGAAACTGAACATAAGCATATCCACTCACACAGTAATTCTACTCCTGGGTATATGATCAACAGAAATGCATGTACAAGGTCACCAATAGATATGAACATGAAAGTTCACACAATCATTATTCATTATAGTTCAAAACAGAAAAAAGGTCAAATGTTCATCAATAGTAGAATGAATAAATAAAATAATCTTACAATGGAATACTACACAGGAATAAAAATGAAATTATAGCTTCACGCATTAACATAGATGAATTTTACAAATATTAGATTGAGCAAAAAATAACAAACACTGAAGAAACCATACTGTATATTTCTATTCATATAAAGTCAAAATTTAATAAAACTAAACCAAGATAATGATTACTTTTTAAAAGAAAGGTAAGGGGTAATCAAGTGATTATAAAGTATGGTAGTGTTATCTAGCCCGTGTGGCCTAGTGGTTGAGTGTTGACCCATGCACAAATAGGTAGTAGGTTCAATTCCTGGTCAGGGCACATGCCCAGGTTGTGGGCGAATGGCTGTTGATGTTTCCCCCATCAATGCTTCTCTTTTTCTCTCTCTCTCCCTTCCTCTCCCTAAAATCAATAAAAACATATTTTTTAAAAAGTATGATAGTGTTCTCTTTCTTGCCTTGAGCAATGGAATTACTTTGTGATAATTCATTGCACTTATACTCTGTGTACTTTTCTGTGTACATAATATATTTCAATAAAAAGTTTTTTAAAGCCTGGCCAGGTGTGGTTCAGTGGCTGAGCATTGATCTAGGATCAAGGAGATCTAGGTTCAATTCCCAGTCAGGGCACATGCCCGGGTTGTGGGCTTGATCTCCAGTTGGGGGCATGCAGGAGGCAACCAATCATTACAACTCTCATCATTGATGTTTCTATCTCTCTCGCTCCCTCTCCCTTCCTCTCTCTGAAATCAATAAAGATACACTTAAACAAACAAAAACTTTTAAAAACCAAAATCTTCCAGTACAAAAATTAGAAAATGTAATTATAAACAAAAATTATAAGGCTTCTAGAAAGAAAAAGAACAAGACCATTAAAAGGAGAAATTAATAAGACATTATTTAAGGACAGTAAATAACTGCAAAAACTGAAGTTACCACCTACATGGATGAGATAAATAGCATAAAATATACAAAGTCTTCGCAACTATATATACAAATTTAATTTAGCGTCAATCAAAACTCTGATACCTGTTTGTTTTCAGTGAAAATTGCACAAACTTGTTCGATATTTAATATGGAAGAGCAAAACACCCAAGGGCAACCAAGATAATTCAGAAGATTAACAAGGTGATAAAGACCTATTTTTATGAAGTTTCACGAATTAAAACACCATAAAACTGGCACAGGGACAGACAAATAGACCAGAGGAACAGAGCAGAGTTCAGAAAGAGAAAAAAATAGTATTAATTGTGAAAAAATGGTTCTTCCTCACACCATACACAAGTCAATAACAAGATGATTAAAGGTCTAAATGTGAAAAGCAAAATTCTTAACAAATTCTAGAAGAAAATACAGGAGATTATGACTTTAGGATGGGAAAATATTTTTTAGATAAGATAGAAAGCGCAAGCCTTAAAGAAAAAGTCTGACTAACTTAATTATACTAAGTTCTTTAAGTACTACTCTACAATAAAGAACACCATAAACAAAGCTTATGACAATCCTTACCCTATAAGACATTTGCAATGTGCATATATAAGCAATGCATATAAAAATCATTATCTAGAATATAAAGAACATATATATACACACAAAAAAACTCCAATAATGCCCTGCTGCTTTGGCTCAGTGGTTAGAGTGTTGGCCCATAATCTGAAGGGTCTCGGGTTTGATTCCCAGTCAAGGGCACGTATCTTGGTTGTGGTTCATTCTCTGGCCCTGGTCAGGGAGCCGCCCTGGTTGGGGAGCATATGGGAGGCAACCAATCTGTCTTTCATGCCCATATTTCTCTNAGAAAGTGAAAACAAGGGCAGACTTGAAAATATCCTGAACTTTGAATGGACTCTCTCCTTCAACAACATATATACCAGGAGAAGACAGAAGCCTTACTGGTCTAAGTGTTTGCGCACAGCCTTTGTCCAATCATTGGATTACTATCAAGCTATTTAGACACAGAAATGAGCCACAGGAAGTTAGACTTAAAAGTAAAAACAAGAATAATGCCCTGGCCGGATGACTCAGTTATTTGGAGCATTGTACGGTGCACCAAAAGGTTTCGGTTCTGATTCCTGGTCAGGGCACATACCTAGGTTGTGGGTTCGATCCTTGGTCAGGGCACATACGGGAGGAAACCAATCAATGTTTCTCTCTCACAAGGATGACTCTCTCTAAAAAAAAAAAGAAGAAAAAAAAAAGCAATGGAAAAAATATCCTCAAGTGAGGATTTAAAACAATGACAAAAAAACTCCAATATTGCATAGACAAGTATACAAAGGATATGAACAGGACAGCTGGTTGAGCATCTGTATGATTACTAAAAATCTAGGATAATGTACAAAAAATTGATAAAAATTAGTATCTGACAATACCAGGTGTTAAGCAAAGATGTAATAAAGAGAAATAGAAAACACCTTACACAGCTGATGGGTGTATATATTGGCACAACCATTTTGGGGAGCAATTTGACATCTACTGAAGCTGAATATGAACACACTCTATAGCTCCCAAATTCCACTTCTATCTACCCTGGAGAAACTGTTGCACTTAGGGACAAGGAACACACCAATTCAAGAATCCTTACTGTAATATTTTTAATTTTTTAAAATATTAACTACCTTGTAATAGGATGCTTTGGTTACAAATAATAGATCAACTAAACA